GGGATCTACTAGCCACCTGCACTTACACTTGCGTTCTATATATAGTGCGCATTTTAATATAAAATAAAATAAAATGCGTAAGGTTTTACAATAAAATACCAGAGTCTGTTATAAATCTGCCAGAAAAAAGATTTTAATGTCAAATAAAACACTTCCTTTGCAAAAAAGCTTACTATAAAATTGAAGAATTCGTTAACGATAATAATGTTTTTATAGAAAAACTTTAAATCCATAGCACTGACAATATTATCTGATTACACTAATAATGAGTGCATAGCGATTTCTATGTTGATTATCGCATGCCTCTTACTTGTTATACTGTAATTATTTATATAAAAAAAAACATCTATTAAAAAGAGCAACACACAAGTTTCTTGCTCATTCTTCTTGTGATGAGTCTGCGTTCCGAATGAGTGGTAGAATAAAAAATATGACTATTCAAAAGTGCTTTTGTTAAGTTTATTTGAATAAAGATTATTTCTATTATTTCTATTATTTACTTCCTATTTACTTCCTCTTAATTTGAGAAGAGATTGTTAGGAACTTTCTTGTTTAATATACATTCTTTATGTTATTAACTGGGTCTTAACAGGCCTTTCACATTTTTTGGCCTAAAAGCAGTGTCTTTGGGGTTCTGTTTCTAAGAAATTAAGAGTCGGATATACATTTTGATTCCTGAATTATATAGATAGATATCTAATCTTAAAAACAACATCTTTGAAATGTTAATTTTCTCTTTGTTAGTCTTCCTAATTTCTAAAATAGTTTATTCAAAAACGCTAAATGACAGAAGTTTGGGGTCGTAGTTCATTAATAAACAAACATAAATTGATATGATATCTTTACTAAAACTTGATAATTACTTTATAAATTGAGACAGCATCCTCCATTTTTTCATTTTCACCACAAATATCTAAAAAATTGATCATAATTAAACCCGAAATTTCAACAAAACTTTGCCATAATCATTTCTAATTTTCTCATAAATACAACGAAATTTTTGCATAAAAAAAACATAATAATAAAGTTAATATAGTTGTAAATTAGAAATATGAAAAAAAAAATATAAGTTTCTAAGAAAAAAATAAACAATAATAATAATTTAAAGTTGTATAAATTCCGTTGCGCCAAAAGTAAATTCTCAGTGGCGCGCTAGCGCTCGTCGAGGTAGGACCTATGCCATTTTTTACAACACCGCTAAGATAAGACATTCGTCAGTGAACATTAGTATAGAGCGACTAAACCATTTTGATAATTTAAGTAATATTTAATTAATTTTGCTAATATATACTTATTTCTACGAATATTAATTTAAAGTTGTTGTTAAATATATATATATAATATTTATTTTAGCATGCCAAGACAAAAGTACAGTTATGCTACAAATAAAACCTACCTACCCTGCTGGACTATGAAAAGCACAAGAGCATGGTATTTCGTCACACTAATGGCAATTAATTGTTAAAATTAAAAAAGAGAACATTTTAGTATTTTTAAAAATAACGCTTATCTGAGAGAAAAATGTAAGAAAATGTAAACCAATTTTACTCTATGTTTATTTTGTAGTTTTTTTCTAAATTAAAATAGGGTTATTGTTTATAAAAATACCATTATTATTTTTACGTACATTTGTCTTGTGTTATATAGTGTATATCATCTAGTATGCAATGTGGATTGTAAATAAATTACCAAATTATATATAAATTATATTCCTTAATGTTTAGAGATATTTTATCCAATTTTATTTTATTTTACACAATACAGATATTTCTAAATTGCAGCTATTCTGTTATTATACTCGTTGGACTTTCATTACTGTACAGTTATGTCAAATAATTATACGTGTTTGGGTGAAAAGTCAACAACATTATAAATGTTTTTATTTAGAGACTAGCTTTTAGCTCGCGGCTTCGCCCGCGTGAATATGGGATATATAGGTTATCGCGCGTTTAAAGATCCGTGTACAGTATTGGGACGTTATATATAAACCTTCCTCTTGAGTCTATCTATTCTGTCTATTAAATAACAACGAATCAAAATCTGCTAAGATCAAAACATACATAGATCTATTACATGTGTAGATGATATTTTAACCGGAAATTGAAGCCGTTAAAATGGTATTGGCAGATCAGTTGGAATCATCGGTATTCTTGGTATATAAGCTGGTTGCCCAGCTAACGTACCGGTTATAATGGTCTACAATTAAATTGTCTTTCAATTCTTTAGTAAGCAATATATCCAATGGGACGCCATTGCACATGTTCGGCGGGCTTAAATTTCATGACTGGATCATGCTTTTGAGAAATTCCTTCCTCAAGTTTGAGCATTTAGTGTGGGAAATCACTATCTGTGCTTCCATAAAAATGAGCTCTCAAATTTGTCAGTAGTTTTAAACTTTCAATTAAAGTCCATAAGGGAGACGATGTTAATGACACAGAGAGTCTTTCAGAAATCTCCAGCAAAAGTATAAAAGTAATCCCGCCAAGGAGAGCAGAGGTGTTTCTAAGGTCTTTTAAGGTTCTGTCCAAAATCTCTATAGCTCATGGTGATTTCATTACATATAATCAATGAGGCGTCTTATAATAATTTATAAAAAGGTTTGACATTAACAATTAATTATTTATGAAGAATCAAGAATCGGCCAACCAAGAACGAGAAGCTGCAATATCAGCCAATATCATGCGGCGACGTCAATGATGCAGGAACAGCAATGAGAGCAGTTGAAGCTTTTGTTTTACAACTTAGAATGGCAAACAAGCTGACGGCTCTCCTGATGGAAAGGTGTAACCGTCGCCAATATACATGAGCAGTACCTGCCATGTTCATATCAGCACATTATTTCCCTCATGCGTTGCCATTCCTGAAAACTCGGGTGTTATTCCCCTGTACCTTGTAAATTCACTACCATATATATACACAGGTAGTCTATATAGATAGATATACATATACTCTGAGAAAGGTCATAGACTACTTTATAGTGCGAAAAAAGTATTGTAAGGGATTAAAAGCGGAGATGAAAGGTTGTATAAAAGTATCGTCATTGTTTAATTGAAACAAAGAAACTTTTTTAGGTTATAATCTAAATATATTTCCTTTATTTGGTCAATTTCATTATACCACGCTGACGAAGTCGCGGACACACCTAATATACATATAAGGATGGGACCTTTAAATCAAAACAAAGCCTTGAAAACACAACTATTATATATAAATAAAATAATTATTTGCTAAGTATAATATAATATATAAGCCATATTCACTTGTTCTAAACAAGTGAATATGGCAATAATGTATCCGACTCTTACAATAAATTATATTGTATCTATTACTAAATAAACTGAATTAATATGTAAGAAGAATTAATTAGTAAATTTATGTTATAGTAATTTCATCTTCCTGTCCTTATCCCAATTATTTGTTACTCATATTACTTAGGGTTTTGGCTTTTAGTTGTACAATCGGCCAGCATCCTGACATCAACCCTCTAGGAATAATATAATAAAAAAATATGGTCATTATTAGCACTTCGATAATTAAGATAAATAACGTTATTTAAAAAAATCCAATAAGTAGTCTCAGTTAAGTAGAAACATATCACATTATTAATTAAAATATTACAAGGATCAAAATGGTTCATACTAAATCCACACCGATTGCGCTACACGGTTATTTTCGTCTGTGTGCGTGTATTACTGTATGTGTGCGTAAATCCATGCGATTAAACCTAAAGTTGAGCGGCATCATTTTGTAATAGGCCTCTTAACACGAATAATTTTATGGTAAATAAAGGTATTTACCTCTCTCGACGTTCCGACTAGGTTGCACTAGCCGGTGTACATGTATTCTATAGATATATATAATACATGTACACCCGTGCGAAGCGGTTTTTTTTAAAGATAGATTTTTAGATATCTTTAAAAAAAACCGCTTCAATATCCGTTACGTAGTTTTAAAGATTTAAGTATACATAGGGACGGACAGACAGCGACAACGACTTTGTTTTATACTATGTAATGATTATGATAAATATTTTCCTGCCCTTTCTGAAAATTCTTGGTGAATAGGCTAACCTCATGCTCATCCTAGCATTCTCCACTGGTCCCCACCAGCGTAAACCGTTAGCGAAGGCGGGTGCACAATTCCATTATCTATACATATAAAAAAAATTGTATCTGTTTGTAATATTGAAATAACCGTTTTTTACTACGTGCATATGAATATAAATACGGTACATACACCAAAATACATTTTTATAACTTTTGTCTGTCTGTCTGTCTATTTATTCCGGCTAATCTCTGAAATGGCTCGACCGCTTTTTACGAGACTTTTTTTTGGCAGGTAGCTGATGTAATAAGGAGTAACTTAGGTTACTATTATTTTAGAAAAATGAAGTAATGTTGCAAATTCCACGCGAACGAAGAAGCGTGTACAGCTAGTCATCCATAAGAATAAAAAAAAAATATATTTTCTCATGCACCGATATTAAATACTTAGTTTATCTAAGAGGTTTTCTAATTCTGTATTTTAATCTAGTAGCTATATGCATAATATAGAAAACTGCATCTTTCATATTGAGGACTTTTCATTATTTATTTAATTTAAATTTAATTTAATGATCGTTCAATATTTAATTATATTCTCTTCATATTTATTTACTTTAAACATGACCAGTAACGCCATCTAGGTCTACAAGTAAAAAGTAGGTTAACGTCTATTTATGTTATTATTCAGAGTGCGTGTTTCGAAATAATAAATTTCTAGCAAATTTATTACACTCCAATTATATTTTTGGATTTATAATGTAAAAGTCGTGTAACTTTTATTAAAGTTACGTAAAAACAAGTTCTGGCTACACTGTGCTAAACTGACATGACTGACAGACACATAAGTGTCTGTGCCGCTGACTGATGAATGATCTTGAGATTCGATATGTAGTTCTTCAATGTCAGTGCATGTCAAATTGTCAGTTTTCTTTCAGTTGTTTGCTTGTTGACTTTTTATTTTAGTTTTTCCACAACTTTTATAAATAAACATTGTTTTTAAGCAAAAAATGCCATCAGTACCTGCAAATGGCTAGTTTAAACGTTGCAGAATGGACACCGGATCAAGTGGCGGAGTGGTTGTCAGGTTTGTGTAGTGAATGTTATATTTTAGATAATCCGGCTTTGGTGACTCACGTCGTACTGGGTGCAGGTCTGGGGCCTACGGTGGCGCGGTACGTGCCCACACTCCGGGAGAAGAAACTGGACGGCGCCAAGCTGCTGATGCTGAGGTGCGATGACCTGGAGTACCTGGGCATGCACATCATTGGGCACCAGGAGTTGCTGTTAGAGGCAGTGGAACATTTGCGGAATTTCGTGAGTAGATTTAATTTATAACCAGATGTGTAGTATAAGTTTTTTAATGTTTTATGTAATGTCTTTTCACTATGACTAATTTAATCTTATTGTGTAATATTCGACTCTAATAAATTAGTGCTGGTTGGTAGTTTGTATTCACATGTTTCGACTTGTAAATGTAAATTTACAAGGATTATTTAAAAGAAAAGTTAATGCGATGACTGCGAACAGGGATGAATGGAAGCAAAAAACATATTACAAATAAAGTAAGGAAGAAGCATATGATGATATTTAAAAGAGCAATACACAAGTTTTTGGCTCTTTCTGATGTGTCGTTGTGATGAGACAGCTTTCCGAATAAATGGTAGATTTAAAATTGATGTTCTGACTATTTAAAAGTACTTAAAATAAGTTTTTTTTTAATAAGGATTTTCTATTCTATTCTATTGTAACATATATTGCACTATCATACTATGCTTGCATTTGGATTTGGAGACTATCTCAATAGTCTGGCAGTTTAGTAGATTTCGTCACTTTTAGTGATAGTGAGTCCCATCCACATACCATACAGATGTATGTATTGTTCTAGGTGTCCGTTACATATATTTACTAAAGAAAAATGTATTTAAGTATATATATCAGTTGTCTAGTACCTATAACATAAACTCGTCTTAGTTAAAATATGTTTTTGGTCCAGCAAAGTTACAGAATCTCAAAAATACATACATTTATTGGTTAAATGTATTATTAACATTACAACTGTACAAGGAACACCATTCCTTGTACTTGTGATATGATTTAAACCTGAGGTTCACAGACTTTTTTTGTGTCCTGTATTTTTAATTGAAATGTTCAAAATATACTAATTGTATCGACTGTTGGAATCGAAAAAACTATGTTTATATATCTGTATAATTGTATTTAATATATAAAGTATAACACTATACTCTAGACCAAACTTTTTTGTGTCATAGACCTTGCCATATTTTTCAGTTTTGGGTAGACCCATTCTTACCTGGTATTGATTTTTTGTAAATTTCTAACTGTAGTAAAGTTTAGTGTTAAAATTATAGTAAAAAAGTTTAGTGTTAAAAAAAAGGAAAAACTGTAGAAAAAAAATTGTAGCTGTTTACTACAGCTGCAGTTTAGTGTTAAAAACAAGAAGATGACCGCTGCCGTAGACCCCTTGCAGTTTTCATAGACCCCTGGGGGTTGATATAGACCACTTTGGGAATCACTGCTTTAAAGGATGTATTGACTTGCCATTGTATAGTGAGATTCGTCACAACTGTTTGTGACTATGGTAATATTTTTTTATGATTGACCATGGTAAATGTTCCTATACATACATATATATAACCTTCGTGGTTTAACTAGGACCACCAAAAGAGACAATGATTCTGCTGGGAATCACTCTCTACCCGCGACGTTGCACCTACACCACATCTGTTCATAGTCTTCGATTGATTGCAGGATAGGCACAGAAAAAAAAAAGTGGTTTAGCAGTTTAACACTATTTTAATGATGGCGCAGGTTCAAATTCTTACATAGTACAAACATTTGTATTCATGAGTATGATTGTATCAGTCTTGTTGTATTCTGAGTATATTATGTATGTATTTACAAAAAAATCTATGTGTTTACATTAGTTGTCTAGTACTCATAACATAAGCTCTGCTTACCTTAGATTATTTGTCAGTTCTTCTCATCCCAAAATCATTCCGAACTGATGTTAGATTTGACATATCATAAAGTCTCTAGACCTACATGAATAAAGATATTTTGAATTTGAATTATTGTTATAGTACAATATGGGACACAGAACAAGAAACAAATAATTACAATTATTTTTATTACTATATACTGAAGGGTCAATATATGTACATACTAGCTGTGCCCGAGGTTTCATCTGCATAGAATTTATAGTCTATATATTCTGATGTATATTACAAAGTTTCATTAAAATCCGTTAAGTAGTTTTTGCATGAAAGAGTAACAAACATCCATCCATACTCACAAACTTTTGCATTCCAACAAATTAACACATTAGGAGTGGTACAGATAAACATCAAAATATCTTTCTTTTTAAATCTTAAGATTTCAGAAATCACTACTGTTGTACCAACGATTTCTGTCTCTCCAGGATCTTTAATTTCTAAACAAAGGATAACATGTCTAAACATGTTCTAGTACATGCTCCCCATAATAAGTGGGAATCCTCAGAACTGGTACAAATACCTGCCCCGCTCATTTGTTAATAAGATATGTGATGAATGTACAGTCATGTATGCTACAGTCTGCAAGTGTCTGATTGTGAGTGAGCAGTGTATGTACCTACACTGCGATGCTATCTAACTTGTTATCTACTGTCACATGCCACTATAATTTATGTTTTTAACATAAACATTATCACTTTGTACATTTATATGTTTAATGGCATTATTTCAGTTTGCAACTTGTAATTTTAAAAATAGAATTTGTTATAAAAATTATTAGGTAACTGGTTACTCGCCCCGGCTTCGCACGGGTGTACATTCAAAATAAAATTCAATAATCATTTATTCATTTAGGACATTTTAGCCGCTTATGAATGTAAAATTTTTTACATTATAATTTTAAAATTTTCCCTACTGTCCAGTTCGGTACATAGATCCAATTGAGAAGAGCTGGCAAGAAACTCAATTGAAATCCTTTTTTTTAAAAGCCAGTTTATTTCCAATATATTTATATACATGTATTATATATATAAACCTTCCTCTTGAATCACTCTGTCTATTAAAAAGAACCGGTTCAAAATCTGTTGCGTAGTTTTAAAGATTTAAGCATACATAGAGACGGACAGACAACGATAGTGACTTTATTTAATACTATGTAATGATGGCGTTATAGTCTTCTGAATTGAAACTGATACAATGTCTCTGGTTATATATCTGGTCTATCGATGTATCGAATATCATTTACCATCAGGTGGGGTCTTCTATCATTTTTGGGGTCATTCATCAAGGTTGCCACATCCAATTGAACCAAAAAATGTATATTTATCAGGGATGTTATGGATATGAAATTTCAGATACGAATAGGTTTCAGATATAGCAATGATTTTTATACCGGATATATAATATTAAATTATTTCGGATTATCCGTTAGTTTTTGATAATTTCGATTACGGATATTAATGTTTTAAGGATTTCAAAGTAAAATATAAATAGTTAATAAAATGTTTACATAACGTGTCTCAATTAGGCTCCGCCCCTATCCGATATTATCCGAAACTTTTATTTCGTTTTATGGAAATTGCGTAAGGTTTTACAATAAACTCCCAGAGTCTGTATGACTACAGACTCTGGGACAGATTTGGTCCAATGTAAAAAAATTTTTTTTATCTGTGTCTAAAATATTTTTTTGGCAAATTGAGTACAGCTCAAAAATTTTCATAAAATATTTTCTTTGTAAAAAAGCTTATTATATAATTGAAGAATTTATAAATGATAATAATGTTTTTGTAGAAAATATCTAACTTAAAATTCATAGCGCTGACAATGTTATCTGATTGAACAGAGATTAAGTTCGTAGCGGTTTCTATGTTGACTGTCGCATACCTAATCCTTGTTGTTAATTAAATATAAGTAATTCAATATTTATTTAAAAGAGCAACACACAAGTTTCTTGCTTATTCTTCTTGTAATGAATCTGCATTCCGAATAAGCGGTAGAATAAAAAAACTTGACTATTCAAAAGTGCTTATATTAAGTTTATTTGAATAAAGATTATTTCTATTTCTATTTCTATTTCGGATATCCGATAGTTTCGGTTACAGTTAAGGAGCTCTCTAGCATTCCTGATATTTATTCTTGAATTCAAGTCATGTACGCTAAGCGTACTTTGCTGGATTTGTCATTTGTTAATTCGCAGGACGTTTATTTTGGTATTATCACTTATGTGGCCGTCACCACTGTTGTCGGTCAGTGATATAATGTTGTGTCATGTTCCTGGTTGAGATGTACCGTAAAATATTGATCATTATTTTATACTAGCTGTACCCGCGACTTCGTCCGCGTGGAATTTAACTTCATTTTTCTAAAATAAAAGTAAAGTTTAAACAATAAAAGTAAAAAATAAAAAGTTAAAAAAATAAAAGTTTTAACAATTAAGAGGGCCCCCTAAGGGGCAGAGGAGACTGGCTCCATCCACACGCCAAGCCTCAAGTGGAAGACTTACCAACTAACTTGTTCCTTCCCCCTTGAATATGGAATATGCAAAGTAGGATTGCGATATACACCATTTGAAGGTGAGATGGGATGAGTATTCTCAGCACCAAAACAAGTTTAGTTTATACTATTAAATCAACATTACAATTTTCACCAAGCTTGTGATGCTTCAAGTAGATAAATAAAGATATAGTTGCCAAAGGCAAATCGAACTGAATTCAGGATCACTCACGACACAGAAGCTTCTTATGGATATTGACCCCTTCAGTTCCATGAGCCTATAGAGATACCGTCAAATAGACTGCCGACCTCGAAACTAAATCCCAGCATCACTCAGTCACAGAGCCCACCTAATGGGGAACACCCCGGCCCCAGTGTGACAGTGGAGATCAGACTGAAGATACGAGTCGTAACAGAAACTAGGAGGTCACTCAAAAGCCAGAACTTACTAATGGATCCCAGTATCCTTTCAGCCCTATAATGTGACATTGGAGATCACCCGTAATTGTAGTACGATAAATAGTAGAGTGGTATGATAGCCCGATGCCATCAACACCACAATATTGGTCAATCCAATATATAATGTTGATAATTATATTACAAACATAGCATGTATAATTTATAAATTTCCTTAATACCAAAAATACTCGAGGAAATAAGGATTGTGTATTCGTTAATCAGTGCTAGACTCTGTTTTGATTGTTTATATTTAAATTAGATTAATTACATAGCAAAGTAATCATTATATTAGTGAGATATTATAAGCGAGGACTATAAGTCCCAAATCTAAATAGAAATCTCTGAATGATCCACATGATGAACCAACCAGAAGATAATGTTTAGTTTATAGAAGGACTGCACGTCCAAATATATATCAGTAAGATTTGATTAATTACATAGTGAAATAATCAGAATAATATAGATAATAATGTCAAAAGTCTATGACATGGATTATTGTGATGTATGAACATCCACTAGGTAGACAGTCGATGTGATACAGGACCGGAGTCCTTAGATGTAAAGACCAAAGCCTAAGATAATTGATGAAATGATTAGCCATATAAATGGATAATCATAAATATATATAGATTGTATTCATGAGGACAGAAGCCCATAGAAGTGATTATATTTATGTATACATAAACATATATATATAATATGTATATATAAATTAAAGGACTAAGAGTCCTAATATAATTAAGTTGAACATATACACTAAAGTAATTAGTATTTGCTATTAAGGCCAAGGACCTTAAAATAAACTTTTATTTTATTGAATTGACTGGAACAAGGAAAATAATAATAAATATCTTAATTAATAAAGAACCGAAGAAATAATCTAATAATAACCAATAAGAATTAATAGATATTTAATTAGTAATTATACTTTTATATGTATACGTTTATTAAACCCACTAATTATGATGACGATTTAGGCCCTCATACTGGCCACTGATGGTTCAAGATAACCACAAGTGGTGCCCGAGACTTGTGACACGGGTGTAGGTTTAAAGGACCCTTTTAAAATGCACTAACACTCACCTTCACTACTTCTGGTAAACTCCCAGATCTCATCTAATAAACCCCCCCAATGCGTACAATTTTCACAATTACATATCTTTTGTTATATGATAACAATATATTATAATTAGGCAATTCTACTATTTACGGAAAGCAAAATGAGTCTCTATAGCTATAAGGGAGTCATATTGAACAGTATTGCTATTGCTTCAGCTGATTAATATAGCTAATATTGATAACGGATTAATTCATCTATTATATACATATTTGTGCAGTGTAATAATTTGTATTATATAATAAATGTGATATGTGTCCTAAATCTTTACCTACATAACACCATATGTCCAGGGTAGCAACATATTTCTATATTGATACACCACACATACAACGCACATATAGTAAAGTTCAGGGTGTGAGACCTAGATAACCGCATAGTTATCAACAAAACTGAAGTCCCTATTGGTTGTAGAAATTTCCACAGGGATCGTGGTCTAAAACCTTCATTGCGAGCTTTGACCCATCTCTCCTCAAATGATGGAACATGTGACTTCATCATAGATTCATCGATCTGAGCCTCTCTCTCCTCCTGATGAAAACTTCCACAACTATTACAAAAATTATACTTCCTTACTAAAGCCTCCATAGAGATTTACGGATCATAATATATCATCAAAAACTCTTGGAAAATGTCACTTCAATAGTTCAATCATCGATACAAGTATTTTCCTCCTTCTAGTGAAGCCAGTAACCAAGAACTCCCCATGCGACACCTTTTGTAGAATGTATATGATTGTAGTATGGGTAAGTACTAAATCCCAACCAGGCAGAATCCCTCTATTTGAAATAGCAACCTTGCATTACTATCACAAACAAAGAACACTACAAAGCTAGTTATTCAGTGTGAGTAATAAAATATTTGAAATAAATAATTAATAGATGAATTTAGTAAGGGAAATATTTACCGTTGGCAAGTAATTGAATTATTAATAGCTACACAAGTGCAACAAAGTTCTATTATAACTCCATTAGATTACTTTTATTTATTTAAAGTAAATTTGCTATTATCTGAATTCTTATTGTAAATATTAAGTTACCTATAAACGTTGAAGATTTCAACATGAGGAAATTCCTTAACATCTAACAAGAAAGTACCAAACGCTGTATAACGTATATGCCTAAGAAATAAATAAATTAATATATTGAATATTGAATTTCTAGAGACTATAACGTACGTAAAGATTCAATTATTCTATTATATATTTTACCTATTGTATGATGTACAATTATATAAGATTTAAGCACATAGTAAAACACACAATTTATAGAAAAGGAAATAAACACATGTAGAACCTAAAGAAAATAATTTTATAATACTAACATGCACAAAATAAAACAATAATATAAAAATAATAAAATCACACAAATTATAAAAAAGTAAATAAACATATGTAATACCTAGAGAAAATGATTTTATAATACTAACATGCACACAATAACTCAATAATAGAAAATAACAAAATTATACACATGTATGTCTGTATAATAATTTACATGCGCTACGCATGTAACTCGAACCCGCGACTTCAGGAAACAGCGTACATTAAGCCACCAAACCATAGAGGCACTCAATCTTATTATAACTTTAATATCTAACATTTAAACAAGGCTTAGATTATGGCCATAAGTCGACTTAACATACATGTAACCGAGTTTAATAATCCTATTATTTGCAATTATAAATTTATCTGGAACAACACATCCTAAATATTATCTTCTCAATATATTTCAGACTGCCTCATTTAAAGTAAAAGAATTAAATCACTTACCGAGATGCTCGACAGGAACCACTAATAAAATAATTAATTAAACACTTGCTCACCTCACGGTCACTCCCGACTAATCTCTTCTAACACCCATATTGGCTATTTATAGACATTTTTGTTTACCAATGTGTATGTGTTAATAATGATATACCTACATTAGTGTGCGTAAATCAAAGCTATCGTTTTGAGCTGATGAATTCTATGAAATAAGATTGAAACATTTTTTTATTTAATATTATTTTTGTATTGTTTTTACGTAAAATTATTTAATAACCGATATCAAGGCAAATCAAACAATATTTAAATTTTAATAATTTTTCATCATGTAATGGGTTCTATTTAGATAACTAATATCTTATTTATTAAACCATATGATGTTTCTATTTATAATTATTTTATTTTTTAAATCTAGTTTATAGAAATTAAATCAATGTTAAGTTAGTGAATTAAAGTCCTAAAATGAATTGTTTTTAAAATCTAATACAATTTTTGAACTAAATATTTGTAATATACTTATGGGTATAGGTGAACCGTCACAAGCCCGATCGGTTTAAAATTGACAAGGTTTCATATAAACTTTCATCCCCTATTTTATACCCTTAGGGGTAGAATGAATCAAAATCCTTTCTTAGGAGATGCCTACGTCATAACATCTACCTGCATGCCAAATTTCAGCCCGATCCGTCCAGTGGTTTTGGCTGTGCTTTGATAGATCACTATGCCAGTCACCTTTGAGTTATATATATTTAGATACAATATATAAAAGACGAGCATACATAATACCCATGTAATTTAAAATTTTGGTTGGAAATAACTTGTTATTCATCTTTGACGTTCACTCTGAACCAAGGTGTACTAAATATCGGTTTAATGAATGAAAACACAATATAGGTACAGGTGGTTGATATATTCTTTTTTAGAACTGAACGGTGAAGTACTAGATGGAATCGAATCACAGATACATTTTTTTTTCGGACTATTCTAATGCTGTTGGCCGCAGCTGGCTTTTACAGCTTCACCGGGCGATAGGGGGCGAGTGCAGATGGGACTCCAAACCAAGGAAGGACTTATGGAGCGCTGAAGGCCAACTCCCACTTGACGAATACGACTTTAATCTGAGGGCACCGCTAGAGGTTCGAATCTCGGCTCAGGCCGTCGTAAATTCGGTCCCCGTTTGAATTGGACGGGGGATCGATCGGAGGGGCGACCAGGGGCGCGCAGGCGCCCGGTTGAATGCGCGACATGATGTTTATGACGTCGTCGGCTTCGCCGGCGAGGACGGTGTCGTGTGTGTATGTAAACGTGTTGTCGGGGTGGAACGGGTGGGCACGTGGGGAGTCACAGATACAAACATTCCGTTTGACTATATAAAAGCACAAAAAAATCTTAATAGCGCGTTTTACATTGCATAGTAAAGCCATCTAGCGGTATAAGTGGAAACTGTCTAAGACATTTTTATTTACTAAATTTTATAGACGTAATGAATCACATCTTTTCAAGCGGCCAAGTCCCTGATGCTTCAGTTGTAACAACTGTATGGCATCCGATTCGTCCTGTCTTTCAAACCCCTTAAAAGCTACATCTAGAGCTTCAAAAGCTTTTGCGTGAGATGGTACTTGACACATAACCCCAGTTTTAGTCTTATCATATCTTCTTTCTTGTTATTGTTCAAATCCCGAAATATCTAAATTGATAGTTAGAGCCGAGACGATTGAGTTCGGATTGTCGGATGTTCGGATAATCGAGATTCTACTGTATTACTGATCTAGGCACTTGTGTTCCTTAACATGCATATTTCTAATATTGTTGATAGCATTATGTTTGAGTACTAGTTACTCGCCCCGGCTTCGTACTGGTATACATGTATTATATATATATAAATCTTCCTCTTAAATCACTCTATCTATTTAAAAAACCCCTTCAAAATTCGTTGCATAGTTTTAAAGATTTAAGCACACATAGGGACGGACAGACAGCTACAGCGACATTATTTTATACTATGTAAGGATGTAGCTATGTAACCGTGTCGTTTGGTGTGCAGCAATTCGAGGCTACCCGCGAGTGCGTGCAGCAGCTGGCGGTGCGCGTGTCGGTGGTGGCGACCACGCTGGCGACCACGCTGGCCCGCGCGCTGCGCACCGCGCCCGACGCGCGGCTCGACACGCAGACGCTGGCCGACGTCGCCTCCACCGTGCACGCCGTCAAGCCGCTCGTCTGCTGGCTCGACAGGTAACTGACGTCACCACATGTGTACTAGTGGCGACCACGCTGGCGACCACGCTGGCCCGCGCGCTGCGCACCGCGCCCGACGCGCGGCTCGACACGCAGACGCTGGCCGACGTCGCCTCCACCGTGCACGCCGTCAAGCCGCTCGTCTGCTGGCTCGACAGGTAACTGACGTCACCACATGTGTACTAGTGGCGACCACGCTGGCGACCACGCTGGCCCGCGCGCTGCGCACCGCGCCCGACGCGCGGCTCGGCGACCACGCTGGCGACCACGTCGCAAACTGATAGCATAACAGAAACTCTACTTTTTGTATTACGTTTACTGTATCATCATTTCGTGTTTATTTGACGGCCTCAGTGGCCTAGGTCTAGCACACAGTTTTACTTCCAATAGTCGCGGGTTCGATTCCTCGCGCGGCGCAAACGTTTGTATTCACGAGTATGATTGTTTGACACCCAGATTCGTAGGGTGTTTACCAGAATATGTATGTATTTACAAAAAAAAATCGATGTTGTTATCTAGTACCCATAACACAGGCTTTAGCTAGCTTAACTTGAGACTAGATGGTCCTGTGTGAATTGTCCTGAGATTATTATTTTGCTACTAGTCCCTATGGTCGCTCACGTGACATCCCTGGTGATTCAGGTCATAAGCTAAGATAACCGTTTATCATTAGCCATGTACGTAGTAGATATTTAAAAAGTTTCTCCAATAATATGCAGATGGCCGGTGTGCGCGGGCGGCGCGGAGCTGGGCGAGCGCAAGGCGGCGCTGCTGAAGCTGTCGCTGGAGGCCGCCACGTGCGCGCAGCGGGACCGGTTCGCGGAGCAGCCCGCGCGGGCCGTGGCCGCCGCCGCCGCCGCCGCCGCCGCCGCCGCCGACTACATCATACAGGTACGGATCCCTCGATGCGGTCTCCCTTAAAGCCTAAATTGTTTTGATTAGGAGCCAAGCGACAATCTGGAATAAAATACGTTTTATGGTCCTTCGAGCCGGATCTACTTTTTTTAAGTTTGGTTTCCCTATAACTGCTAATAGGCGTGTTAAGTTTTTATATTATGCAAGAAGTTCTGGTTTATGTAAATATATAATTACATAAATACGTACATCAATATTGTTGATGTCTTATTTTGGGTCTCTTTTTCTATATATGTAAAAAAAAGAACGAATGAAAAGTTCTAATACTTTCTAGTTCCATTTTATTAGGAGTGGTTTGTTTAATATATCTAATATCCAATGTCTTCCAACTGAGTCTAAGCCAACAAGAGTGCACATTCTTGTGAATATGCCACATATTTATTTATATAAAAATGTGTTAAGCGTTTACTCCAAAATATCCGTCGTATATTGCGACAAGTCAGAGGGTGTGATGTAATGAGTATGGGTGCAGGACGTGGTGGACCCGATGGTGCTGCAGCCGGCGTCGCTGGACACGGTGACGCTGCGGCAGGGTGCTCGTCCGCTGGGCTTCCACGTGCTGCCGTCCTTCTGCGGACACCACCAGCTCGCGCACATCCGCTTCGGCTCGCCCGCGCACGCCTCGGGCGCCGTGCACGACGGCGACGAGATCGTGCAGGTACGGCCGGGTTCATGGCGCTCACTGACCTGGCCTTGCTACTCGGGGAACGGTAGATCTTATTTGAGTAATCTGTTACAACTTACACTAATATGTGTTCGAGAATTCAACCGGTACGCAACCCGAATTTCTAGTATTATTTATTATTGTGTTCAGCATGGTGTTCAATATTATGTCCAGAAGAGATGTGACCGGATACTGGTCCGTAGGCTATCTTTTTTTTCGGTCTACGCTAATACTGCTGGCGGCAGCTGGCCTTTACAACTTTACCGGACGATATCGGGCGAGTACAGATGGCACTCAAAACTTCTGGGAGTTCGAACTTCGGTTATAAGTTTTCGTAATTTTGAGATCCCTATTATGTTACGTTATTTGAGAGAAATGGACGGGAAATCGATCGGAGAGGCTCTCTATAGCGGACAGTGTATGGAGGTTACTGTGTGCAGGTGGGCGGGCGGTGCGTGATCGGGTGGAGCGGGGAGGAGGTGGAGCGGGCGTGCGCGCGGGTGGCGGGCGCGGGGGGCGGGGAGCTGCCGCTGCGGCTGCGGCGGCGCGCCGCGCGGCCCCCCCCCGCGGGGCTCGCCACCCCCCACCTGCTGCGGCGGGACGCGCGCCTCAGGCCGCGCTACCTGCCGCACCGACACTTCGACCCGCGCCAGCACAGGTACGGGGCGGAGGGGGGCGGGGGCGGCTCGCCACCCCCACCTGCTGCGGCGGGACGCGCGCCTCACCCGCGGCACGCGCTACCTGCCGCACCGACCCGCAGGTACGGGGCGGAGGGGGCGGGGGCGGGGCTCGCCACCCCCCACCTGCTGCGGCGGGACGCGCGCCTCAGGCCGCGCTACCTGCCGCACCGACACTTCGACCCGCGCCAGCACAGGTACGGGGCGGAGGGGGGCGGGGGGCGGGGCTCGCCACCCCCCACCTGCTGCGGCGGGACGCGCGCCTCAGGCCGCGCTACCTGCCGCACCGACACTTCGACCCGCGCCAGCACAGGTACGGGGCGGATGTGGGCTACCCCCACCTGCTGCTTTATATGACTTTACGCGTTACACGTGAAAAGTAAAGTTATTGTCTTTAAAATATATTATTTTTTAAAATGTATTAATGTACTAATGCTTACGCAGGTACGAGATATCGACGCTGGGCGTGGAGGCGCGCGTGGCGGAAGTGGAAGCGGAGGTGGAGGCGGCGGAGGAGCCCCCGGCGGACGCGGCGGCCTCCTCCTCCGACGAGAGCGAGCCGCTGTCGCCGCCCGCCTCGCCCACGCTGCACCTCTCGCACACCAGGTACGGGCGCAAGCGAATTAGCCGCTGATAGACGCTGAAATTAATTCTAGTTCCACGATCATCTAGCAGACTGCTCAATAGAAAAACTTTTAATTTCCCTAACTGTAGAAGTAACTATGGCAAATACTCCCCGGTATATTCGACTCGCCGGGCTGGAGTCCGCGAGAAATGTTGCGGGGCGCGGCTAGAGGGAGCGAATAGCAGTGCACCGATCTCTCACTTCTGATCTCGCCACCGAATATGAAAGCCCGCTCAATATTCCATCTCATTCTCTATGTAATATAGAGAATGAGATGGAATATTGAGCGGGCTTCATTGATGAATGAATACTTGATTCGTATTTCAATTATTATACGAAGTTACAGTCCAAAATAAATTTAATTTAAAAGTCCTTAGTGTAGGACCCTACATTAATGGTCCTTCGAGCCGGACAATATCAGACACATTTGATATTTTCAGTGCAAAATGAGTGATGTTGAATGTTTTACTAGTTTATTTTTGACTTTAATAATATACACGTAGAATTTATACACTATTATTTGCCTGAATATACGAGTACATCGGTTATTAAGAAAATTTTGGTACGGTGGTCTCCGGACGCGCGCCGCTCGCTCGCCACTCCTTTCGTCGACCGCCGCCCCCGCGCCCTCTCTCCACCCGTAGTGCCGTAGACGAATGATGAAATGATATACTCTAATGACGGACGTGTGTTGCGCAGGATGTACCCGCCGAAGCCGTGCGCGGCGCCGCAGCGGCGGCACACGGTGTGCGGCGGCAGCCCCGTGTGGAGGCGGCCGCACGCGCCGCTCGAGAGAGTGTGGCGCCAGCTGCGCGCGCGCCGCCGCGACCCGGGCCCGGACGCGCTCTACCGCCGGGACAAGGTACGTACCGCCGGGACGAGGGACGTACCGCCGGGACGAGGGACGTACCGCTCACAGCCCCGTGTGGAGGCGGCCGCACGCGCCGCTCGAGAGAGTGTGGCGCCAGCTGCGCGCGCGCCGTTGCGAATGGGCCCGGACGCGTCTACCGCCGGGACAAGGTACGTACCGCCGGGACGAGGGACGTACCGCCGGGACGAGGGACGTACCGCTCACAGCCCCGTGTGGAGGCGGCCGCACGCGCCGCTCGAGAGAGTGTGGCGCCAGCTGCGCGCGCGCCGCCGCGACCCGGGCCCGGACGCGCTCTCCGCCGGGACAAGGTACGTACCGCCCCGACAGGACGTACCGCCGGGACGAGGGACGTACCGCTCACAGCCCCGTGTGGAGGCGGCCGCACGCGCCGCTCGAGAGAGTGTGGCGCCAGCTGCGCGCGCGCCGCCGCGACCCGGGCCCGGACGCGCTCTACCGCCGGGACAAGGTACGTACCGCCGGGACGAGGGACGTACCGCCGGGACGAGGGACGTACCGCCGGGACGAAGGACGTACCGCCGGGACGAGGGACGTACCGCCGGGACTATTCATGCCGAAGATTGTTTGTACCGCTGCGACAAGAGATTTTCTATATATCTAGTGCTGTTGCGTAAAAAAATCGATGTAGTACCATGGATGTTCCCGCAGACGACTAATGTTAGGTGCACCGTTGCAGGCGGTGTCGTACAGCACAGGACTGGAGCTGACGCCGCGGCCGCGCACGTGCCTGGGCGTGCTGCCGGCGCGGAGCGCGGCCCGCAGCCCGTCGCCGCCCCCGGGCCCGCAGCCCCCCCCGCCCCCCGCCGCCCCCGCCGCGCCCGCCAGCCCGGCCGCCCGCGGCAAGCTCGACAAGAGCCACTCGACGCCAGCTTACGACTTCGGCGGGCCCGCAACAGATGAGCCCGGTTCGCTCGTCGCGCAGATCATACCCGAGTCACCTACGACGCCCACAGACAGGTATCTGTCACTATTCATTCCAGTCGTCGATTTCGATCCGGCTCGAAGGACTAAAACTGTTAGAATGTCAAATTGGCTTTAACGGATATTTGACTATGAATCGAAAGCAATTCCAGGTCGTTAGCGAATCATGTCTAATAATATAATAGACGGCCTCGATAGACTAACGGTGTAGTACACCGTCTTCTATGGTCGCGGGTTTGATTCCTTGTACGGCACAAACATTTCTATTCATGAGTAAGATTGTTTGTATCGGTCTGATTATTTTCTATATATAATATGTATGTATTTACGAAAAAAAATCGATGTATTATAACAGTAATCTAATACCCATAACACAAACTTTATTTTATTTTTTTATTTATTAAAGGAAAACCAAGGTTGACTATCTTTAATTAAAATCGATATAAGCTTTAGTTACCTTAACCTGGGTTTAAATGCGAGGTGTGCATTTTCCTGAGAAAATTATTATATTGTTCAGCCCGACGATACTGGTACACTCCGCGGAGAAGGCGGATCAAATCTTGGACTTCAAGAAGTCGAGCTCGCAGATCGGCGAGGCCATCCTGCAGCAGCAGAGCCGCCGCGCCGACCCAGCCGCCCGCATCGAACTCGGGGTATACTAACATTACTAACATTATAAATGTTAAATATGGGACACAGTCACCTAGATACACAAAATAATAATTGCATTTAATAATGTCTAGTAAGACAAATTCAATATTGTCTACTAGGCACTGCTGTATCTAAACTGTGTCACCCCACCTTACATTTTCCTATTTTTATTTAGTATATAAGATCATTATTTCTATGTACACATTGTCAGTTTATCATCATCTGTAATATACATCGTCTCGACCAGCAACATCGTATTATTTAACCGCAACATTAAACTAGGGATGTTTGTTACGCTTTCACATAAAAACTACTGAACCGATAATCATGATATTTTACACACATGTTCTTGGAGTTGTAACATTTATTTATTTATTTATATACACACTATCATCACAGGCATATGCCCAGCATCTAGGTAATTGTGTCTTACAACATATGCCTGTTGTTGCTTCTTATAGATTTTGTTAATATTTAAATTTACACCTCAGACAATATACAATTGATGACCTCGGTGGTCTAGCGGTTTAGTACACCGCGTTACGTTTGATGGTCGCGGGTTCGATTCCTCGCACGACACAAATATTTGTATTCATGAGTATGATTATTTGTGTCGGTCTTGGTGTTTTCTATTGTATACTATATGTATTTAGAAATATATATATATATCTATGTATTTGCATTAGTTATAGTATCCATAACACAAGATTATATAGATGGCGCTGTGTGAATTATCCTGAGCTTATTATTATTATAATGAATATGTCGTAACTACTAGTCGATATGAACTATCCGGCTCGTATAGGACGAGTGGAGCGACACGCAGCGCGTGCTGGAAACCATCAACATTGCCGCCATGGAGCACCGCCGCCGCTCGCTGCACGACGCCAAGCTGGCGGCCGGGCAGGCCACCGCCGCGCGGGGGGGCGGCCCGGCCGCGCGGGGGGGGGACGCGCACGGGGGGCTCCGCGGGGACCCGCCGGGCCCGCCCCCCGCACACAGGTATATACATTTAATTAATTTAGCGGAATAGAATATATAATATACTAGCTACGCACCTCGGCTTCGCACGGGTCTACATGTATTATACATATAAACCTTCCTTTTGAATCCCTCTATCTATCAAAATAACCGTTTCAAAATCCGTTGCGTAGTTTTAAAGATTTAAGCGTACTAATGAAATGAAATTTTTATATAAACGGGGTGTATCAAAAAGAACCTATCCGTTACCATCGCGTGGAGAGGGTAACCAATTTAGACAGAGCGAGAGAAAACAGTCCGATGAAGTTTCACTTTTTTTTTTATTTACTTATTTTTTTTCACTTTTACACACTACTTTTATTTATTTAGTAAGATTTGTTTGTAATGTGTGGCAGATACGTGCAGCCTGCGGGCGCCAGCAACCGCGCCCCCCCGCCCCCGCCGCGCCCCGCCGCCACGCTGCGCGCCCCGCCCGCCCCCGCCCCCGCCCTCATCCCCTCCCTCGTCGCCTCCCCAGTGATCGTCCCTGTCCCCGCCCCGTCGTCGCCCCCGCCCCCGCCCCCGCCCCCGGCCACGTCCCCGACCACGTGCGCAGCCACCAACTACCCGGTGTTACGCGCCGTGCCGCAGTTACCAGCGCAAGAATACTCGCCGTTTAAAACCACCAAACACATTGACGTCAATCAGGTCAGTTCATTAAGGTGTATGTATATATATATAAACTTTTTTACCTATGTTGATGTCATCTCGTTCTTCGTCGCTTAAAACCGTTTCATAAATGTCGCATCAGTTTTAAATTGATTACATACTTGGACAGACATCAACAGCGACTTTGTTTTAAAAACAATTAATGATGATGATTTCACAATTGATGTCTTAACTTCTGACAGATCGCCTCTACTTTCCGCATGTTCCATTTTTCTTTGTCTACAATACTTGCTCTTTCAAAATTCACTATACACAGCGAATATAAACGGTAATATACTATTTATTATTAAATTAACACAATGATGTCACCATGTTGTGTAAAGTAAACGAGAGGTCAAGATGGCAACTGCTTTAATTGTATAATATTTTTCGACATATAATAAGTATTACCCACAACAGTTACCTTAACCTATGTTAAACGAGGTGTGCATTTTTCAGATTATCTATTGTTATTCACGACACTGGTACACGGAGACGACGGATCAAAGTGATACCCACTGCAGATCGGCGAGGCCATCCTGCTATCAGCAGAGACTCGCCGCGCCGACCAGCCCCCGCCGACCTCGGGGTATACGGGGGGCTAACATTATAAATGTTAAACGGGGGGGATGTTTGGTTTTCACATAAAAACTACTGGGGCGATAATCATGATATTTTACACACATGTTCTTGGAGTTTTAACATTTATTTATTTATTTATATACACACTATCATCACAGGCATATGCCCAACATCTAGGTAATTGTGTCTTACAACATATGCCTGTTGTTGCTTTCTTATAGATTTTGTTAATATTTAAATTTACACCTCAGACAATATACAATTGATGACCTCGGTGGTCTAGCGGTTTAGTACACCGCGTTACGTTTGATGGTCGCGGGTTCGACCTCGCATTGCACAAATATTTGTATTTATGAGTATGATTGTTTGTGTCGGTCTTGGTCTTCTCTATTGTATACTATATGTATTTAAAATATATATATATATATATATATATATATCTGTGTATTTGCATTAGTTATAGTATCCATAACAAAAAAACTGGGTATAGATGGCGCTGTGTGAATTATCTTATTATTAATAATGAATATATTGTAATTGCTAATCGATATGAACATCCGGCTCGTACAGGATGATGAGCGACAAAGCGCGTGCTGGAAACCATCAAGTTTGCCCATTGGAGGCAATGGAAGTTACGACGTTATCTACTACCAATAACCGCCGCGCACAACGCGCGGGGGGCGGCGGACGCGCGAGACTAGATGATGCCCGTGTATATACATTTAATTAAGTGTGTGCGGAATAGAATATATAATATCGCTAACTCTTACGATTGTAATGTTATACATATAAATTTTACTTTTGAATACTATCTATCAAAATTTTCTTCAAAATTATCTCAGTTTTTTAAGATACTAATGAAATGAAATTTTTATATAAACGGGGTGTATCAAAATGCTATCCGTTACATCGCTTGGAGAGGGTAACCAATTTTTGAGAGAAAAATGTCCGATGTACTTTTTTTTTTATTTTATTTTTTTACTTGTACATGTATAGCCCCACACACTACTTTTATTTATTTAAAATTGTAATGTGTGGCAGATACGTGCACTCCTCGGAGATGTGACCGCGCCCCCCCGCCCCCGCCGCGAATAAAATTTTGATGCGCGATCGCCCCCTTCCCCCGTCATCCCCCCCTTCGTCGAAATAAAATTGTTGATCGTCCTGTCCCCGCCCCGTCGTGCCCCCGCCCCCGGCCACATCCCCGAACGTGCGCAGAAATAAAATTGTTACGCGCCGTGCCGCAGTTACCAGCGCAAGAATACTCGCCGTTTAAAACCACCAAACACATTGACGTCAATAAAATTTTGTATATATATATCCTACCTCTTGGAATGTGTAAGCCCCGCTTCAACACTGAAATAAAATTGTTGATTTATCATACGGACAGACATCAACAGCGACTTTGTTTTATAATATGTAATGATGATGATTTCACAATTATGTCTTAACTTCATAGTCAGATCGCCTCTACTTTCCGGCCGTTCTCGTTCTCTTTGTCTACAATTACATGCTCTTTCTTTCTTCCGTGAAAACAGATTACCGCGTTTAAAGGCAGCTAATGACAAATGATGAATTGGAAATCCACGAGTTTGCAGAATATTGTAAATATTTTCAACAATAATCTTTTGTTTGATAAGTATGTGAAACTGTTATTTTTCAGATATCTGTCCCTTTACGACACCTCACGAAGCACGACATAAAAGTGATACCCACTGAGCGGCGCGAGCTGCCCGCTATCAACGCCGAGCCGGACTCCCCGCCGGTGACTGGCTCCCCGCCGGGGGGCGCGGGGGGCCCTTAACGGGGGGGCAAATAAAATTGGGGATGGGAGCCGGCCGCCGCGCCCGCCGCCGCCGTCAAGAGCCTGTTCCCCACGTCCAAGTCCCGCAGCCTCAAGAAGAAGAGCTCCATGCTCGCACGTGAGTACGCACCGGACACCTCACAGACACGCACATCAATCATTGCACATGATTGTTACATCAATGGTTTGTTGGTAATAAACATCTCCCTCGCACAGTTACAAACATTTCTGTACATTAATATGATTTATTGTATTGTTCTAAGTGTTTTGTACGTATATTACGTATCTACAAAAAAACTGTATCTCAGTATATCTATTAATGATGAATGATTGACTTACATTACACATGTAAGCTATGATGAGATAAAGTCCCTAGTCTAGTTTGCCCATTGGAGGCAATGGAAGTTATTAGTTATCTACTACCAATAACACAAGCTTTGCATAGTTTGAGACTAGATGATGCTGTGTGAATTGAAGTGTGTGTCCAAGGATATTATATCGTAACTCTTACGATTGTAATGTTGAAGAAGTAATTTTACGAATACTCTGCAATTTTCTTACATTATCTCACTTTTCAAGATAGAATACTGCTCACTAAACTGACTGTTCGCAGATAACTTTACATTTTTGCTCTTTGAAATGTAATGTATTTTTTTTATTTTATTGTATTTTATGTGTAAGCCCCCCCCTTAACGAAAATAAAATTGTTGATGGGATCCTACTCCTCGGAGATGTGTAAGCCCGCCCTTAACGGAAATAAAATTGTTGATGGGATCCTACTCCTCGGAGATGTGTAAGCCCCCTCTTAACGCGAATAAAATTTTGATGGGATCCTCCTCTTCGGAATGTGTAAGCCCCCCCTTAACGGAAATAAAATTGTTGATGGGATCCTACTCCTCGGAATGTGTAAGCCCGCCCTTAACGGAAATAAAATTTTTGATGGGATCCTACTCCTCGGAATGTGTAAGCCCGCCCTTAACGGAAATAAAATTGTGGATGGGATCCTACTGCTCGGAGATGTGTAAGCCACCCCTTATTGCATTAAAATTGTTGATGGGATCCTACTCCTCGGAGATGTGTAAGCCACCCCTTATTGCATTAAAATTGTTGATGGGATCCTACTCCTCGGTGACGTGTGCCGGTCGCAGGGCGGCGCGCGGTGCCGGTCGCTGGCGGCGCGGGGCGCGGCGGAAATAAAATTGTGGCGGGGGGGCGGGGCGGGGCGCGGGGTGACGTGTGCCGGTCGCAGGGCGGCGCGCGGTGCCGGCCCGGTCGCTGGCGGCGCGGGGCGCGGCGGGGGGCGTGTGGCGGGGGGGGCGGGGCGGGGCGCGGGGTGACGTGTGCCGGTCGCAGGGCGGCGCGCGGTGCCGGCCCGGTCGCTGGCGGCGCGGGGCGCGGCGGGGGGCGTGTGGCGGGGGGGGCGGGGCGCGGGGTGACGTGTGCCGGTCGCAGGGCGGCGCGCGGTGCCGGCCCGGTCGCTGGCGGCGCGGGGCGCGGCGGGGGGCGTGTGGCGGGGGGGGCGGGGCGCGGGGTGACGTGTGCCGGTCGCAGGGCGGCGCGCGGTGCCGGCCCGGTCGCTGGCGGCGCGGGGCGCGGCGGGGGGCGTGTGGCGGGGGGGGCGGGGCGGGGCGCGGGGTGACGTGTGCCGGTCGCAGGGCGGCGCGCGGTGCCGGCCCGGTCGCTGGCGGCGCGGGGCGCGGCGGGGGGCGTGTGGCGGGGGGGGCGGGGCGCGGGGTGACGTGTGCCGGTCGCAGGGCGGCGCGCGGTGCCGGCCCGGTCGCTGGCGGCGCGGGGCGCGGCGGGGGGCGTGTGGCGGGGGGGGCGGGGCGCGGGGTGACGTGTGCCGGTCGCAGGGCGGCGCGCGGTGCCGGCCCGGTCGCTGGCGGCGCGGGGCGCGGCGGGGGGCGTGTGGCAGCGCGTGCGCGGCGCGGCGGCCCCGCGGTGGGCGCGGCGCCACCTGCTGCTGGCCCACAACGTGCTGTACGCGTACCGCTCGCCCGACGTGAGTATGCGCCGTGGGGGTGGGGGGCGGGGGTCCGCCCGGGTCACTGACCGCGCGCCCGTTGCAGTGCGCGCGCGCCGACTGCATGATCTACCTGGAGGGGTTCACGGCGAGCGCGGCGGGGGAGGTGAAGTCCCGGGAGCACGCGTTCAAGGTGTACCACACGGGCACCGCGTTCTACTTCGCGTGCGACTCGCGGGACGCGCTGGTCACGTGGCTGCAGCTCATACACCGCGCCACGCTGCTGCCGCCAATCGCACACCCGCAGGTAACGCACCTTACATATATTTATATTATGTACTAGTTGTAGATTTTTACTGTTCGAAAATATAACAATTACAAAGCGAAATATGCAAATTACAAGCATTTTATAGACAGATTTTATAGATATCTCAAAGACAAATGGAACCTATCGTTGACGCCAGACTCCAGTTGTCCGAGCGTTGGCGAGAAAAGGAATTAAAGAGAAGCCCTCTTTAATTCCTTGGTAAATTCTCGACCCATCACGTCTTCCGCAACCGGTGTGGTTCGAGATAAACTGATGAGTTGAGATGTTGAGGGTATGTCTTCTATCACTGCATTGTCCGCTACATTAATGGACAAACGCAAGGCCGTTCCCAACGCAGAGTTCCCGCATGATTAGAACGTACGCGACGACGAGTGACTTGAAAAACGCCTTTCAAATCATTGACCATGCTTTTTTCAAGTAGTCCTTTTTTTACTCTACGACTTGTGAAAACAAACTCATCATAAGAACGAAGAAAACTAGCATGTTGCTCTTTTAAATGAATGACGTATAACTTTACAGATGGATATTTCTAAACGTTTTTCGGAAACCGATTACTCGGACACGGAATCCGAGAATGAGAGTCCAGAAAAACGAAACGAGCGCGAAAAGGATAAGGAGAAAGAGAAGGACAAATCCAAGTTTGGATCGCTAAAGAAGCTGACAGTGCGCATGCAACGCAGCGAATCCCAGGAGAATGTAAGCCATTCGTCCACCAGCCTCGACCGCAAGTACCTGCGATTCTTCTCTAGGAATAGAAGCAGAGACGACCCTAAACCTGCTAAGGTAATCTACCAAAGTTTTGCTACCTAAGTATTTTACATAGGATTTACATTCTTGGGATGAGATGTAGTAAATCATTTATTCCGATTCCTTAGCACCTGTCAGTAGTAGATATATGTCCGGGTAAAGTGGATCCTGTAGATCTACGTCTCGCCGCAAGCAGGAATATTTCCGTGCCCAGATTGAAGCTGTGAAGTCGAGTGACCCAAAAATCACTTCCATATTCCATGAGAGCTATGGAATAACCGCAAAGTCGGAGTACATCAGCAGATTTGGTAAAAGACTGACTCGTCTGCCTTGAGAATTCCGAGCTTTCTAAAGTTTCCAAGGGAAATTTCTGACAGCCATCTTTCCCACCACAGATACAACGCAGAGATAATTTATTGGTCCAAAATGCTAAAGTGAAGGCTGATCTCCTTGGTTCTTTCTTTGCATCTGACTCGGCACTAGACGATATCCCTATTGTCGTGTGTCGTGTCACTGCCTGCATTCTCGCGGTGTGTCTTTTATGTCTCACGTAGCTTTTACTCAGAAGCTGGCACATAAGTGTATTTTCTCCCTAAAGGTCCATAAATCGAGTGGAGTGGACAGTATCTCTGATATTGCGCTTAGGGCATGTGAATTCCTATTATAGAGTAGAATAGCAGTTTTTCCGGTACTGCTATTCTACTGGTATTGTCCCGAAATTTTGGAGGACCGCTTTGGTTCACTCGATCAAAAAAGGAGATCGTTCAGATCCGGCCCCTTTAATCCCCCTTAACTCCTAACTGATAGCTGTTACCTCCTTATTATAGTCGATTGTCAACTGTGAACTGCTATGATACTTGGAAGATATTTAGTTGATTACTGGTCGTCATTATGGCTTACGCCAAAGTTGCTTGAAAAATTTCTAACATGAACGATTACTTTTTAAGCTTCAAGATATTTTACTCAATATTTTCCATAATATATCTTGTACGTGTACTTATGTTGTCACCGTCTCCAAAAGTTATCACAGCATTCATCAGGTTAACAAGGTCCCTTTCAGAATAAGCAGGCGGGTGTACCGGTCCCGACCGAGCACTACCGCAGCTACCGGCGCGCGCCGCCCGCCGACCGACCACTGCACCACCGCGACCACGACCACGACCGCGACCACGACCATATATCCAAGACGTCACCACTAACCATACATAAACATGCTTTGACTGTCCCCGCCCGAGTCGGACCTGGACCGCGCCGCCAAGAAGATACCCAAGCCCATTAACTACATACACGCATCAAACCCCAACTTACTCGATTTCGAGAAGAGCGATTTTGTGACTAAACCTACGCTTCAGGTTTGTGTTTTTATATTGTTTGATTTTACCATAAATCTATATATCTGTGTATTAATATTATGAAGAGGAAACCTTTCTGAAGTGATGAGTTTGTAGAGGGTATAAGCCCTGAATATATTGAACCGATTTTCGAAATTCTTGTACAAATAGCCACATTATTTATGAGTATCATCTATACGCAAATAAAATTACAAGTTTCCATTTATAATTTTAAATATATAAAACTTACATCTAAAGGTTAATTTAAGAAATTATCGTCTGTCCCATCTGTTTATTCTTACTAATCGCTAAAATCGTTATGCCCATTTTATAGAGCTTTTACTACTTTAATGTTAAAAAAAATAATTTAAGCTTTTATTTTTGAAATTTTAACCCATGCCAATTGTGCACGTGATTGCAGGTACCGAAGCCAAAGGTGCACAAGCCGGAGAATCTGATGGGGTTCGTGACCCTGGAGGAGTTCATGCTGAAGAAGCAAGAGGAGGAGCGGCGGCAGGTGTACAGCAACCGAGTGCTCATGGGCGTCGAGCGAGGCCTGCAGGTATTTACATTGAACTGAACTACTTTACTGTATGTACTCATCATTACCTGCTTCTTCCTTATTCCATTCAATTGGGTTTGCCATATTGTTTTTCTTTTACTTTCTTACCTGTCTTTAGACATCTCGTATTTGTTTCCTTTTTTGCCATGTTATAATTTTTTTTTTCAGGTCAAATCACACAGCGCCATCTAGACCCAAGTTAAGCTAGCTGAAGTTTGTGTAATGGGTCCTAGACAACTGATACAAATACATAGATAATTATTTTTTTTTCGTAAATACATACATATTATACATAGAAAATACCCAGACCGATACAAACAATCATACTCATGAATACAAATGTTTGTGCCGTGCGAGGAATCGAACCCGCGACCATCGGTCGTAAAGCGGTATGCTAGACCGCTAGGCCACCGAGGTCGTCGAATCATTTCTTTCTCATGTTCCTTTATTTTTGCCATATCGTCTTTCACACATGCCTTTTTTTGTCGTCCTTCCTCGGTCCTTATCACCATCCACAGTGATATGTAACACTTTGTTTAAAATATTGTTTCGTTACCGCGCCGCCAGCCCGCCCGCACTCCGGAGCCGCAGTCGCAGTCGCAGCCCGTGTCGCGGACGCGCGAGGCCAACCCCATCTCTGTTAAGGGGAAAGACGGGTACGTTACTAGTGCACATCATACTTAACTTGTAATTAAAATATAACTCATATTTTGTTACTTCTTACTATAAGCGGAAGTTTACAACTATAAATGGATGTTTGTTAGTCTTTTGCGCAAAAACTACTGAATAGATTTTAATGAAACTTTACAATAACAAAACTTAATAATAATACGTAGATTATAAGTTTTACGATAGTAAAACCGCAGCTTATGACTTCACCAAACTATAGGGCGAGAGCAGATGGCATTCCAAACCCTTGGAAGTACTTTCGGAGCGGCTGAAGGCCAACTCCAGCCTGACGGATATGACTTTAGTCTGAGGGCATCTATAGGTTTGATTCTCGGCTCAGGTTGTCGTAATTTCCATCCCCGTTTGATTTGGACGGAGGATTGATCGGAAGGGCACCAGTATACAGCGCCCAGTTAGTTGCGCTATATGATCTGGTTAAGGACGTTGTCCTCGCCGGCGAGGACGGTGTCGTAACTTATGGAGCGGCTGAAGGTCAACTCTCGCGGGTCGGATATGACTTTAGTCTGAGGACATCCTATGGGTTTGAATCTCGGCTCAGGTCATCGTAATTTCGATCCCCGTTTGTATTGGCCAGGAGATCGATTGGAGGGGCACCAGTGTGGAACTTCCAGTTTGTTGCGCTGTATGGTGTTGTAGAGGTCATTGTCTTCGGCGGCGAGGACGGTGTCGTTAAACATTGTAATATGTGCGCAGGAACGAGAGGATCGTGCACGCTGACGAGCGCCGCGCTGACGGATGGAGGGACTCGCTGCGGAGACACCACCAGGTGATACTTACTACTCTATTACACCATGCGGCCAGTCTGATGGTATCACATCTATCCCCTGGTGTTTCAGACACAGTACAGATACAACATCAAGTAGGCGATAACACTTCATATAGCGCCATCAATTCACATAGCGCCATCTGTCCAAAGCCAAGCAGAACTTGTGTTATTGATAGTAGATGAACATAAATACATAATTACTTTTTTTATGAATACATATATAATATACATAGTGTAGCGCGGTGGTTATCCTCATCACTGTAGCGTTATATATATTGTGATCAGATGGCGCTATATAATATATTATTTATTGTAGTATGTAAATAGACTTAAATGAACAATGTAAATGTATTTTAGTGAATTAGAATGTTCGTTCTTTCTTATAGGTTCACAGTGAGACCGGTGCTGGCCCGCCATTGCCTTCGTCGGACAGGTATTTCTTTTTATATCAATATATATAACTCAAAGGTGACTGACTGACATAGTGATCTGTCAAAGCACAGTCTAAACCACTGGACGAATCGGGCTAAAATTTGGCATGCAGATAGATGTTATGATGTAGCCATCCGCTAAGAAAGGATTTTGATTAATTCTACCCTCAAAGGGAAAATATAGGAGGATAAGTTTGTATGAAACTTTGTCAATTTTAAACCGATCGGGCTGAGATTTTGCATGCCTAAAGCTACTATGACGTAGGCATCCCCTAATAAAGGATTTTGATAAATTCTACCCCTAAGGGGATAAATTAGCGCGAGCGTAGCCGCGGGCAAAAGCTATATAAAATTTTAAAGTTTATGATTAAATAGCTTTATTTGATAATATTATAAGGAATATTAATGCGTTTGGTGTGTGTAGTCATTGATTTAAGTTAAGAAAGAGAGTCAGAAAGATAAAAAGAGAGAATTTATTTTATTAGTATCATCTAATATTTATGACACAAGAATGACGGGCAATCTTTCGAATCATCAAAGAAAATAAGTCGAAGAATCATCATTATCATGCCTTGCTTACATTGCCTGTACTTCTGGATAAACAACAAAAATAAATGATCACATTCAATTACTTGTCGGAAATTCAAAAGGTGCTATTGAGTATTTTTAATGAAACTATTATTCAAAAGGCATGATAAGATCTGTTAATAAATAAAAAGGATGTGTAATTGGTAAATCACGGGATTTTACTACGTTTTATTTTTATTGAGTTCTGGATATTTCGGCTGTGTTTACCCGTGATCGTGGCGGTTGAAACGTTGCTGAAATATCGGGAATTCAATAAAAACACACGGGTGTACATGTATTACATATATATATATAAATGTTCCCCTAGAATTATTATATTTATTAAAAAAAAACTGCTTCAAAATCCGTTGTTCTTTAAGACTATAAAGATTTAAGCATGTATGGGGACAGACAACGACAGCGATTTTGTTTTTTACTATGTAACGATGATACGTATAAATAATGATCGCATTAAATTTAATACAGCAGTAAATAAAAAATACCTACTATGAAAATATTTTTGCAAGAATGAATTAGAATATTTATCAATATATTTATTTACGCTGCGGTTTGAATCCGTACAGAGTACAACTTAGTACAATGTCGGAAACGAGATAACCAGTAGTGATCGTCAGTCGTGGTGGATGATGATGGGCACGTTGTGTTGCAGCTGGTCGCGGACGAGGGGCGGCGGGGGTGGGGGCGGGGGCGGGGGCGGGTCGTGGCGCGGCGCGGCGCACTACCCGCACCTGCAGTGTCCGCCCACCTTCCAGCCGGAGACGTACTCGTTGGCGCGGCTCGCACCCCCCGCACCCCCCGCACGGCCCCCGCCCCGCCGACACGAGCCCTGATCACCCCCCTCGCACCCGGTACACCCCACGCCGACTGTACGCCACTCGAGTCCGAAGGCTCGAAGGACCAATCGTTGGAGCGTCCACTGTTGGTGATGAAAGCCGGTGGATGGGGGTAAACGCAGGTTTTAATTAGTTTTACCCACGCACAAGTTCCAGCAGTGGTATTTCCGAACCGATACGATATTGAACATTAAGAAAAAAGAGCTTATTCCTTCTTAAAAGGCCGACAACGTGCCTGCATTCACCTAGTGTTGCGTGTGCTCATGGGCGTTGATAATCACTTACCACTATTCTCACGAGCATGAAATTTTTCAAGAATAGTATATGAAAGTTTCTTAAAAGTCGAATACGCACACGTGACACTCCTGATGTTCCAGGCGTCCATAGACTATATTAACAGTTTACCATCAAATGGACCGTATGATTATTTGCGACCATAATTGTATAAAAAAAAACATCAGGTGAGCCACATACACGTTCATCCCTATTTTATAAAAAAAATAACAACTTGAATATATACAGAAATAAAAAGAATGTAAGAACAGAACAACCATGTTATAAAAAAAAATAACAACTTGAATATATACAGAAATAAAAAGAATGTAAGAACAGAACAACCAACCATTGACACCACTATAGGCTGGTATTGCCAGCAGTGTCAAAACTTAATCGTATTAATTTACCGTTACTAACTTCTGGACTCATAATCTTTGTAAAAAAAAAATATCTTCTATTATATATTATATTGCACTCATTATAAAAACGAGGTATTTACCACAATAATGTTGTTAATTAATTCGATGCTGAAATAATAAATAATTTGACGTTCATAAGCGGCTAAAATGTCATTACAAGTGAATATCTTGGTCAGATATAAAATTCAAATTCAAAAATCATTTATTCATGTAGGACATTTTAGCGGCTTACGTACGTAAATTTTTTTATACTATAATATTTTCCCTATCGTTCCGTTCAGTATATAGATCCAATTGAGAAGAACTGGCAAGAAACTCAATTTAATTACTTATTTTTTTAAAAAACCAGTTTATTTACAATGTATATTTATATAGGTGTCTATGTTTAACATTAAATGAAAATCCCGTGCATGAACAACTATTGCCATGCACGCTCGTCATTCAAGTAATCGTTTAGTGAGTAATAGGCTTTGCTCAGTAAATATGATTTAAAATAATAATAATAATGACTATCATACCCTTGTTCTTTGACAAACTAATGTAATAAAAACACAATACTCTTTTTTTTTGTTTGTATGCGGTTGTGATTTTGTGACAATTGAATATTGTATGTTTTTAATCGAAATGTTCAAAATATACTAATTGTATTGACTGTTGGAATCGAAAAATACTGTGTTTATATATCTGTATAATTGTATATAACATATAAAGTATAATACTATACTCTAGAGCAGAGGTTCCCAAACTTTTTTGTGTCGTAGACCCCTTGCCATATTTTTCGGTTTTGGGTAGACCTCCCATTCTTACCTGGTATTAATTTTTTGGAAATTTCTAACTGTAGTCAAGTTTAGTGTTAAAAACAACAAGATGATCGCTGTCGTAGACCTCTTGCAGTTTGTCATAGACCCCTGGGGGTCGATATAGACCACTTTGGGAATCACTGCTCTAAATCATTCTTATTAAATTTATAACATTACTTCGATAACTCAATAGCTGCCTTTACACGTTCTTTCACGCGCGATTTGGGTTCAAAAGGACTTGTATCCAGAGCCGTAAAACATCATACATAATAAATAGAGATTTTTGCGGACTATTCTAATAGCTTTACCGCACGGTAGAGGGCGAGTGCAGTCGGAGTAGGTCTTCTGTGATCTTTGAGTAGTATTCTGGATTTGTGATGTCATATCCTTCCTGGACATGGACTCAAAAGGACTTGCATCCAGAGCCGTAAAACTTAATGAATAAATTTACTTTTTTTCGAACTACTCTAATGCTGTTGGCTGCAGCTGGCCGTTACCTTATCATTTTAAAAGTATTTAGATAATGATTAAGACGGCGTGGTTAATTTAATTGACTTATATAAAAGCAGGCAATTCTAGCTTCTAATTTTGATAAATGTCATTTTTCTATTCAATCGACGATTTACATGCACAATTTTTCTTACCTGAAAACCTATTCCCGTGTGAAAGAGCTTATATATAAAGAAAGCTACGTATAAAGTTCAGTTGACAAGCTCGGATTAAATATTCGTAGACACTAAGCAACACCTATATATTGAATTGTAATATGTAATGTAAGATAGTATACTCACAGTGAGTATGTTGTATGAGTGTACTCAATAGTTAATAATAATCATACATATACATACATGGATAACATAGTCGTGTAGAAAGGACGTAATACTCAAAAGTGGTTAGTTATATGTTCACTTTAATTGGCGGATTCGGTGCTCTAGCAGTTTCAGGCTAGCAGGTCGCGGGTTCGAATCCTCGGACAGGACAAACATTTATGATTATGAATGTTTGTCTCGATCTGGGTGTTTTCTACATTCTACATGTATTTACAATAAAATATGTAATTATTTCAGACAGTACAGTCAGCTACTTTGTTATAAAATATATATAATAGTTTAGAGTCCTTTTTCCTACTACGTTGTATACCGACATTGGTGCTTACTCATTATATATACATATATAAATGTTTTATTAAATGTCTGTATGTATGTTTGTCAAATAATTTGACATTTGACTTTGGTACAGCATACCCCCCCCCCCCCCCCCCCCCCCCCCCCACACACACACACACACCCCAACTCCCTTTTCAGCATAGCTCTTACCCCCTCCCCCCATGCTTACGTAGACATTTTTCAATATATATATTGTTTTTTTAGAAAAGACAATGTGAGGGTTGCCATTCGTGTAAAAAAAAGTAAATAAGCACCGATGACGTAATTATCATCTAAACTCCCCCACCCCCCATCCAAAATAAGCAAAGTACCCCCCCGTCCCCCCGTCCGCCATAGTGCTTACGTAATACTTGAACAACCCCTTAACAATGGAAATGAAATTGATGTTATTGAATTTAGTCGATTTTATGTGTTGTTAATGTTGGTGAATACCTGGGGTGGTCAACTTGATTAGACGCAAGATCTCCTGTTTACTATTGAAACCGTGTGAGATTTACCAATTACGTACATATTGAAATCTTAAATGAAACAGCACAGTTCAGTACACAATCGTGTAGTATTTTTTTACTTTATTAAGAAACCAAATGTAAAAATTATTCCCAGTAACTAGTTACTTATTTACCTTCATATAAGTGTGAGTTGTGTCTGCGCATCTTTCACTAGTATATCATAATGAGGTTTGTAGTTGTAAATTGCAACCTTTTTTACCATTACCTTGCGCAGTCTGGTCTACGTATTTATATTTTTTTGCCTTGCCACGATGTATTGGACAACAACTAACAGTCGCGATCGACCTGTTGGCCACCCCATAAAGTGTTGCCAGGTGGAACCAAACGTCCAGTATTATGTACAATAATTTAGTTATTAGGCAACATATTGTATTTATCTCACGCAGTAGTCAATATTTCATAATGTGACTCGCTGGTTTTAACTATTTATTTATTTTATAAATATAAAATAGAAATAGAAATATCGTTATTCAAATAAACTTAATATGAGCACTTTTGAATAGTCACATTTTATTATTCTACCGCTCATTCGGAATGCAGACTCATCACAAGAAGAATGAGCAAGAAAATTGTGTTGCTCTTTTAAATAAACATTGTTTTAATTATATGTACATTAACAAGGATTAGGCATGCGACAATCAACATAGATACCGCTACGCACTTATTCTCTGTTCAATCAGATAACATTGTCAGCGCTATGAATTTTAAGTTAGATATTTTCTACAAAAACATGTTATCATTTATAAATTCTTCAATTTTATTATATAATAAACTTTTTTACGAAGAAAATATTTTATAAGAAATTTGAATTTTATTTCTGGCAAATTGAGTACAGACTCTGGCAGATATAAATAAAAATGATTATACATTAGACCCCGTACTAGGCGCATCTGTGCGCGAGAGTCCACAAAAGAATAGCCAGATGTTATTAACTATTACAGATCAACTTAAGTTGTTACTTTAGATATCGATGGGTGTATAACTATATATATATAGATCTTCAGAACTTATATGATATAACTACCTACCCGCCCTGGTGTACATGTATTATACATATAAACCTTCTTCTTGAATCACTTAAAATAAATGACACTCTATATCATATAGTCGTACTGTATAAACTATAACACTTACAGAATATACACTTTTACACAATGTTTACTATACTAGAGCCAATGGTAAAAATAATGAAAATTTTTCATACAAAATGTATAAACAATACCTTTTTAAAAATATAAAATAAATGACACTCTATGTACCTCATTTGAAGTCAGATATACTCTATTTCTTCTAATAAATGTTGCCAACCCAAGTTCTAATATAATTATAATAATATTTATTTATTTCTTTTCACAAACATGGATGGCAACACCACATGTAGTATTTTTTGTATTGTTTTTATTATTATATAATGTAAGCTGATTATAATATAATTTGATATATTTGATAGTCAGCATGCGTCCCATTATGAGATATACACTGGTAGAGAATTTGCAATCCTGCGTCTTATATATACATATATATATTAAATTATATATACTATGATTACTGTGCTGTGCTCAACGACTCTTATATAGTAGATAGTGAATCGCCAATGAATGCTAATTGTTATATAAATTATATTTTTATGTATAATATATAAGATATAAAATTATATAATGTTATATATTATATTTAGATAGACAATGAGGTGATGAGTTGGTGTTTAATATAATATAGAACAGTATTGTATATAGATTATATTGGGTGCTGAATATATATTGACGACCTCGGTGGTGCAGCGGTTTAGCTAATCGCTTTATTTTCGATGGTCGCAGGTTCGATTGT